AAATGGGGTCTCGCTATGTTGCCCAGATGGTCTCAAACTCCTAGGTTTAAGTGATCCTCCCACCTTGGCATCCCAAAGTGCTGGGATTACAGGCAGGAGCCACCACACCCAGCCCCTCCTTCTCTTAATAGAAGCAGGAAATTGAACAGGTTACTTATCAAATCTGAGCCTCAGTTTCTCATATACAATGAAAATATGACTTGCTCTGAAAGATTATCAACATTATATATATCACATGATAAATGCTTAGTTATAGGTACTTAGCAAATAAATTATTTTCATTAGATTCTTGAGAACTAGGCTCAGTTATTTTCAGTTATTTTTATTATATAAGAACATTTTTTATTTCAGAAACCCATATTTCCTGATGCCAGATATGATGGAATAAGCTATTAATATTCTTTTCAAATACTATCTTTCATTGATTTTCTTTTAAAAATAATCATCATATTTTCAAAGTATTTTGCTGACAAACATTTTATATTATTTTTGTAAGCTTTAATTTCTGAGAAAGCTTGAAAATGGTGAAATTTTATTACCTCTTAAATGGCAGACAAATAAAAACTGATTTGAAGCCCAACTTGTCACTTTTTTAAGAATTGTTGAATCGATCAATAATTATTTATTGAACAAATACTATGAGATCAGTACCATATGAAAATAAAGATAGTCTCAAATTCATGAGAAATTAATAACCTGAGAAATTTAATCCAAAGATACACAAAATTTTATCTATAAGAAGGAAACTAAAAGATTTAGTAACTAGTATTATTTGGATTGCTCAGTATATTTAGTTAATAAAAAGACTGAGACTTTTAAGGATGTTTTCCAGACTTTTGAGAATAAATCACTGTTTCTAAATGTGATAGCCATCTTTGCAACAGACTTTGGATTTAGGGGTAAGCCCTCAGAACTTAATAGCAAGAGTCAAGTCTTTTATCACTCAAAGTATGTTCTGTGGACCCAAATTCCAAACCTATCCCTGATAAACCTTTATCTGAGTAAAACAAAATGCTTCCACTACCAGGGAAGTTTGGGCTGAATTCTAATCTTCCATTATAAACAGTGGACTTTAATTAGTCTTTCTTTGGAAATGAGCAGTTCTGGTTTTTCATTTATCAGAACTGTTGATTAATTAAGCAAGGTGACACTCCAGGTAATGTACTTTTGAAAATGTGGGATCAGGTACAGTGAAGGATATGTGGAAGGTTTAGTGATTTGCCCACCATCTTATACAAGCGCACTTATTTCCTTACAATGTGCTGCCTAAATGGGTCTCATTATGCTCAAACTAGAGGAAATATCAGCACAGTTAGGGGAGAACTGCAGCCTCAATCATTTTCAGAGTATTAGACATGTTTGTTTAAATTCCAATCAGAAAGTTCCAGTACTGCCCAGCATTTGAAATCTATTTGGTAATTTACCTTAGAGCAACGTTCAAATAACAAAAAGATTTCTTTTTTAAAAAAATTAAAGCAACCAGGAAAAAAACAAAAACAAAAAAAACCTTACTTTCCAAGGGCAAAGCATTCCAGTTTTACAGATGAATCCTTTGCGGCTTGTATAGTTTCAGGAAAACGCACTTCAATCTTTGGTTCATATTCCCCCATCACACCTGTTAAATATCAAAAGAGCTAGCAGCATTTCTGGAGAACAGAAGTTGTCTATGAAGTAAATGCTTCATTAACCAAAATTGGATTATTTGGTCTTAATGAGAATTAGTGTTTCCAGTTAAGAACTGGATACATATAGATTCTAAAATGCTTCTGAGTTTTCAAAAAAGATCCTTCCCTAGTGTATTAAGATCTATCTCCCCTTCACGGAACTCATGGGGCCAGATCTGACCAGGAATAAGGAATTTTTCGGTTAACATTGTAAGAAGTCTGAGGCAGCACCACTTAACCCGAATTATCAGTGTTTCCACAGCAAAACATATGAAATAATCACACTAATTGAAATAAAGACATAAATGTTCGTACATTAGTACAATAAGGTTTTACTGCTAAGTAAGTTTTCTGTACACCTATAAAAATTTTTTGCTTTTACCATTTTAAAATTTCCAACCCAAGGAATTGTGGATATGAGCTAAGATAAGAATAAGACAGTGGTCTAACGTACGGTAAATAGACTACCTACAGAGAAGCTGTAACAAACAGAAATATATCTGTAGGC